AATTAATTAAACCTCTTCCCTTAAATTAAGCCCACGTGGGACATAACTATTTAGTTTCTCAATCCAAAAGCTCTCCCTCTCAGTGGGGTTATTAACGTCCGTGACGTCAATAACCTGCACTAAAAAATCACTTAGACCTGAATGTCCCTCCCCCCAATAACCCCACTGAGAGGGAGAGCTTTTGGATTGAGAAACTAAATAGTTATGTCCCACGTGGGCTTAATTTAAGGGAAGAGGTTTAATTAATTTATGCATAGCTAAACGTTAGACTATTTAAGCAAGAGACGGAGATGATGTAGCGTTATTCTGAAGAAGGGGCTTGTCCCCGAAACGTAAAAATATAATTTATTTACTTTGAAGATTTATGATTTCTTGATATTTATAAATGAATATATATATATATATATATATATATATATATATATATATATATATATATATATATATATATATATATATATATATATATATATATATATATATATATATATATATATATATATATATAGCTTAAGTTTTCGGTTTACGAAACACAAACAGTGCTCAATATACCATGCATATAGATAGAGCGTAATATAGTTTTTCGTTTTACCTCAAAACAACCACAACAGTTTGTTTCATCCGTATAGGAATCATCAAGTGGTCATAGGAATCACATGTATATATATATATATATATATATATATATATATATATATATATATATATATATATATATAGCTTAACACAAACAGTGCTCAATACCATATAGATAGAGCGTAATATAGTTTGAAAAAGGAAAGATTCCTATACGGAATGATATATGTATATATATATACATTACGATTTTAGGACGGCAACGCGACGACGACGAGTCGACGACCAAAACAAACTCCTTCAAATAAATGGTAGTAAAGATAATTCGTGGTATATTATCAATCGTATCAATTTAATACAGCCTTAGAAGTTGAAGACATGCATGGGTATTATGTTTGGGAAGAGTTCTGCTGAACCCATTAATTTTTTTCGATAACAGAATACCTTTTAACTTCAAGCTGGTCGGGAAAAAAAAGCATATATATATAGAAGCAAATTATTATATAATTTTATAATACAATACATCTGTATTATATAATCACCGGAAGTTTCTTATCAAGAAAAGTCAAACTCAAACCTACCCGTGCAAAACCTGCGCCAACGATAGCTCCCAGCAACTGTGATAGGACGTAACCTAAAGCCAGTAGTGGACTGATGGCTCCAGCAAGTAACACTCCTAATGTGACAGCTGGGTTGACATGACCACCGCTGAAATAAGCAATGAGAGAATTTATTTAGTTAATACCTTCCAAACGTATTGACTGATGAAGTGGGTAATGGTGTGCTAATCATCGTTATATTTGCAGCTGAGAGTAAACTGCATTACGAAGGATGCACTTCAACCTGATCGAAACGAAAGTTTGCAGCCTCTGTGACGATTCCCCTTATTACGTTTTCGTAGCGCTTTGCATTGTGGTTATAGTGGTATCACTGATTAGTAGCGGCTTCGAATGGAAATATTGAATGTTTTCGCGAATATTTTGCTGTTGACTATCGCGCACCTAGCTTTTTTTAAAAGTTCTTGCACTGATCAGGACAAAAAATAAGCCATCTTGAATAACAGTGATACCACTATAACCACAATGCAAAGCGCTACGAAAACGTAATAATATATAAGTGGAATCTGCATGGTATTGATTCTACATGCACAAGCGCTTTCTTCGGCGAAATGCTAGAAATTTCGCGCGATATGAATTAGGTGCATGCACAGTAAAGATAAATTAGGCTTCGCCTGGTTCGCCAGAAAAATGTTTTGCTTCACTCACCATGCAGTGTGTAGAAGTCAGTTCTACTCACTGCAAAAGCGAAAAAAGTGGGGAAATTTATTATAGAATCGACTCATGTGCTGATGTGCAACCATCAGCATTTCGCAGACACTTCTCGCGAAGAATTTCGCCGTCGTGGAATCCGGCTTTAAGGTATAAGCCTATAACTATAGGGGTTAGTTTGGGGCTTATCCCAACCAGTGAGCTCCATATATATCTGCCGCAAAAACCTCAGTCATTCGGCCTATGAGAAAAGTGAAGCCAATATGGCGGCCATTGTTCACGTGAAATAGCTCTGAAGGTCGTAAACAATTTTATACCATTTTCCCCAGCTACAGTAATTCCAGTTTTTAATAATAACCAAGTTATCAGTTCAAAAAACCATAGTGTTATACTCTTTAAAATCGATGTCAAAATACGAAATTTCTGCACACTCTACAATGTACAGGGAGCACACGAGTCGAGTTTGTCTATTACTCGGTGAAAACAGTCCAACATAAATATCGCCACTCATCTTCTTCGTATGAAAATATAAGTTTTCCTTTCAATTGCTTTGCTTAAAAACAGTCATTAGGTTTTTGAAGAGTTAACCTATAACTTCCAACAACAAAAAACCCCGATGCTTTCAAAAACCAGTGAATCACAATGCTGAAAACTTCAACATCCTTAGAAATTGTAAGCCAAACACAACCTCGTACCAAGGGTATTACCTTTGCTCACCCCCTGCTGTGGAAATATCCTAGTGCCGGCTGGTCACGTGGCTCCTAAGATATTAAATGACCAAGGGAGGGATGGACAAATCTCAGCATGAGATCCACCTTTGAATTTACTATACGAGTAAATTCTTAAACCGCGAATTTATTATTATGATAAATTCGCGGCACATTTTGAATTTATCATAATAATAAATTCGCGGCACCTAACAGTCATCCTAACCCCAACCACTAACCCCTAACCCTAACTTTTTAAACTTTTTAAACTTTTTTAACTTTTCGGAAAATCTAACTTTTTAAACTTTTTAAAACTCTTTTAAAGCATTTTTAAAACTTTTTTAAAAACTATTTTTTTGAAAATCTCGATTTGAAAAGCAAAGTTGATAATTTCAAATTAAACGAACGGAGACACTTGCCTTGCCTTGGGTTTATATATATATGTGTGAATCCGTGGTTATATTTGCATGGTCATGAGTAGAGCCGCGCGGCTGCATATTTGTGCAAAAATGTCTGACAATAGTCGAAATCGACATGCTATTATATATAATGGGTGAAATTAATGATATTGACCTGATTATCACACTATATAAGTAAATTAAGGGGCGATTACCCACTCGACAGGGCGATTTAGTAAATTGCCCGTTGGCAAGGGTCACACCCTTTGTCTCCCTGCCGACTACGCATTAGGCAAGTGCCTCACGCACATAATCGTGCAAGGAACAGCAACAGTTAGCTCAGATTCATCAATAGTCGAGGCAGCACACTATTCTTAGCATGAAGTATTGCGTTTACGTGTGCCCAGTCTCTTTGGCCGAGTTATGTATAGCCGAACGACAACTTGATTTTGTTGACGGATGTACGGATTTTCAGATTTATGACTTTTTTGATGTCACAGAAATTTTAAAAAACAACATCGCGATTTGACTTTCCGAACACCCTGGTTGAGACTCACGAACACCATCATGAATGATTACAATTTGTAAACATGTGCCTCGTTGGATGTTGTAAATTTATTGCTGGCTGTTTATCGAAATATTTTTCTTGCGTCTGGCTCGACTGGCTGTTTATCGAAAATATTTTTCAAGGTAAGATGAAAGTTTGATCACAAATAACAATGTGTTTTGGTCGAATTATTTTACCCATATTTGAAACGAATGAATCAACTGTATTTTTATTAAATTTTAATTTAGGTGGCTTATAGGTGCCATACAAGTATACAACTCTTCATATATTAAAACAAGTGGAGTAAAAAATCTGTTTGAGCTTGATAGAACATCGTAGAACTTCGAGGTAAAAATAATCACAGTGATAGTTTATTATAATATTGTTATTATGGGAAATAATATCAATTGAGCAGTATCTTGCCCGCATTGGAACTGTTTTAGACGGCGGCTTGACAGGAATGCAATGTTAACAACAATGAAAAAGTATCTTTATTGGCTTACAACTTCGCCATGCAATAAATCTCAAAAGCATATTTTGTTTTCTCTCTGTAAAACCATGTGTTCACCCGCGCGATGTCCCCGCGTGGTGATGACGTAAATAACATTAACTTAAATTTATGCATGCACGTTCATAATGAAGGTCCAAAATCAAAACACCCCCGCCCGTGGCGTGAACCCGGGTGAAACGTCACTCTTCTTCGTGATGGGCTTCCAGCAACGCTAATTTTCCAACTGGACGAACGTAGGTTCCGGCTTTCGTCACAATTTCAGCTAACCTCACGAGTCCGTCCGCACTTGCGATCGGCGCTGCAACCCGTCCTAGACGCCACTGACCTCTCGGAACGTTGCCCTCCACGATAAGTACTAGATCTCCTCGCCGAAGATTTCGCTGTATCGTACGCCATTTGCTGCGTTTAATCAAATGCGGCACATACTCCTGCCTCCACCGTCGCCAGAACTGGTCGGCTAGAAACTGGCTGTATCTCCATCGACGACGTAAAGACATATCTCGCTTGACGAATTCGCCCGGTGTTAGATTAGCACTTGCGCGGCTGTGGAAAAAATGATTCGGCGTTAGAACACTCACATCTGTCGCTGACGTGCTGCTTCTTCCGTACACAAGTGGCCGAGAATTTAGAAGAGATTCGACTTCCGCGATTACTGTAAGAAAAACTTCGTCCACCGTGACGACGTTACTCATAATCGCTTTCATGGCTCTTTTTGTGGACTTGAGCTCCACCAAACCAGGGAGCAGCACGGGTGGAATGAAAATCCACTGTACGCCTCGTGCACTAAGTTCGTCGGCGACTCGTTTTTGATCGATTTCAAGGATTCTCGTAACTCACGTTCGGCGCCGACGAAATTGGTACCGTTGTCGCTCAAAATGCGGGCCGGGTTCCCACGCCGAGCTAGGAAACGTCGTAAGGCCATTATGAACAAGTTTCCCTCGAGGCTGTGGGCTACTTCTAGGTGTACGGCACGCATGTGCATACACGTAAACAGGTAAATGTAACGCTTCTCGATTCGGTTACGACCAATACGGACAGAAAATAGTGCGGCGTAATCCAGTCCGACATTCTGGAACGGGACACTAACACTGGCAAGGCGTGTAGATGGTAGGCTGCTCATTCTCTGTGTGAGGGGTTGGATGCGACGTCGGTGACATAATGGGCATTTGACGGTGCAATTCTTGACTTCCGAACGGCCGCGTAGAATCCAATACTTCTCACGTATATGGTTGAATACGTGCTCAACTCCGGCGTGGATCAGCTTCCGATGGTAATGGATCACGGGCACGACATCACTCGTCTGATTGTCATCTAATATGATAGGATGCTTTGCTTCCCACGGCAGTTCGGCTTTGTCAATACGTCCTCCAACGCGTAAGATTCCATTCAACAACTGTGGATTAAGATCTGCGATCCGATTAGCTTGCGCGGCAGAACGACCTTTCCACAATGACTCGATTTCAACTCGAAAACGATCTTGTTGTGCAGACTTGATCCAATACAGCTCAGCTTCCTCCAATTCTTCGACACTTAGAACTTCCGCGTTCCGCCAATCTTTCTTACGCAGGTTATGACAGAACCGCAGGACCCATGCTGTAACGCGAACAAGCTTGAGCCAATTGGAAGAATTCAAGAAGCTTTGGCACAACCACCTTTGCTCCACTTTCTTCTTCATCTCCCTCTGGGCGGTTGGAGAAGGTGGGCCAGGAATGTCATCGATGGGCCACTCTGACTTATCGGACTTTAGGAAATCTGAACCATTTATCCATCGTGATTCTGGCTTATAATTAAGATCGTTGGCGGCGACGCAAATTTTTTTTCCGTAGACAGTCGGACTCCTCATTGATAGTCGGACGCATCATTCATCCGCGTTCAGGCCTCCGCGCGTTATCGATATAATAATAATAATAATAATAGTCTTTATTAAAATACTCAGATACATCCGTCTGAGTTTACAATCGAAAGGTAATTGATCTAGTTATATTTACAATTGTAAGTTAAGAAGCGTAAAAAGTTTTAAAAAGTTTTTAATAGATTAAAGTCTAAACAAAGTTATACAGACAACGATTTATGAACGACCTTTTTGATCTTTCTGTTCTCACTAGGGGGAGTTCATACTCATGCCCTCTAGGCCTAAGTAACCTACTTTTTTCCGGCAGCAGTTCAAGCAATGCATTGTCCTCAGTTGATGTTATTTTGTTCCACAGTTTCTTATCTCTCTTATCACGTATTTCTTTAATGTGTGTTCGTTTTGATATATAACCATTCTTATGTGCACGTTTAATGAATTTATCTATTTGGTTCAAATATTTACCGTCGTATGCACAACCCCACAGCTCAATAGCAAAAGTGAATATCGACATAATTAGGCTATCAAACAGCAGATCTAATTGTTTAATTGATAGTCCATAGTATTTGCAAACTCTCATAATGTATATTCGTCCACTTGCTTTTTTGAGCATTTCTTCAAAGTGCAAATCCCAGTTGCACGGGTTATCTTGTAGAGTAACTCCTAAAAGCTTTAGCCATGTTTTTCGCTTAATCAGTGAAGGGATAAGCTCGGACAAAACTACAGAGGTGTGTCTGCGAACAACCATTTCGTACGTTTTTTCCAAGTTTAAGGGCATTCTATTCTCTTCCGCCCAATCCTGTAAACAGGCAGCTTCAGATCGAGATGTGTCACCACTTTCGTTGCCAGGCACTCCTAACGCCAAATCGTCAGCAAATTTGACTAACGCATTACTAGGATCAGCAGTTTTAATATCATCAACCATTATTGAGAAAAGAACTGGGCCTAAAACAGTACCTTGAGGGACACCACGATTAATATATAAATATTCTGTAACCATTCCATGGATCCCTCCGATGGATCCCTTCGTACTCTGCGTAACCCACTGGTGCACCATATATCCATCACTCCACGTTGTTCTTCTTCGACCACGTGTAAAAAGATGAACGATTTGCTTCGCGATGCCATAGTAAATCTACAAACTTGTTTTTCTGGTTCCGAAAATACTCAAGAACTGTTATTGCGAGTTAAAACTATATATCATCCCAATTAAAAACTACGATAACTAGCGTGCAAGGAAATACTGGAAGATTCAAAGCGACAATCACTTTCCACAAATAGAAGTATTGCAGAATACCCGTCCACTAGTATAATATCATATCATGTAGCCCGGCCACTATTTCACTGAATAGTGAATACGTACCCTTGTAGAATCCGACATATTTATAACCTATTTTATACCTATTTTTTCTCTATTTAGCCCTATTTTTTCCGTATTTTTTCAAAAATATGTCTATTTTATTACTATTTATCAAATTTCATAAAATAGTATATGACTATTTACACCCTATTTAAAATATAGGTTATTTATATTTTTCAAAAAAATAGCTTTGAAATAGATATTCAAATCCTATTTGAAAGAGTAATTGACGGAATCTCACTATAAAATAGCTTTTAAATAGCTATTTAATTCCTATTGATGACAAACGAGTCAGTTAAAATAGTTTAAATAGCTATTTTTAAACTATTTTTGCATATCTTCTTTGGAGCCATTCTTAACATAGTTATTAAATAGCAAAATAAATAGGTCTTAAATAGCTATTTGATTCCTATTCATAGAAATTTGTGGCGAACTTTGTTCAAAATAGCTATAAAATAGCTATTTTTAAACTATGTTTGCTTTTATTTTTGGAGCTATTATTGAGTATTGTTAAAATAGTTATTAATTTAAATAGGAAAATAAATAGATCTTAAATAGCTATTTAATTCCTATTCATAGAAAGTTGTGGCGAACTTTGTTCCAAATAGCTATTAAATAGCTATTTTTAAACTATGTTTGCTTTTATTTTTGGAGCTATTATTGAGTATTGTTAAAATAGTTATTAAATAGGAAAATAAATAGATCTTAAATAGCTATTTAATTCCTATTCATAGAAAGTTGTGGCGAACTTTGTTCAAAATGGCTATTAAATAGCTATTTTTAAACTATGTTTACTTTAATTTTAGAGCTATTGTTAAAATAGCTAATAAATAGCAAAATAATTAGATCTTAAAAAGCTATTTATTTCCTATTCAAATAGAAAGTTGTGAGAATTTAGAAAGGGTAAATGTATTTATTTAACTGGTCAAAATTTCCCAGTTTGAGTTAATTTTAAATTTTTCATCAGTTCATTGAAATTATATTTACAAAAATATTAATAGTCTTTGTGGAGGTAGGTATTTTGTCTCTTGACAAAACACCATTTTTGACAAAACACCAATACCACCAAGAATTCTTACGACGAGCGCGGTTTGACAGACTGGTGCCTAATTTTCTTACAACGCGGGGAATGCTTTCTGGGATAGTGTCACAATTCACAATCACACCGCCATATTTTAGAAATTTTTAGTTTAAACTTTCCGCTCGAAATGGCTCAAATACAGAGCTTTTATTGAGCGAAAGTGATATTTATTTTAAAGATTAAACATCAGGGATGACTGGGTAACATCCAGGTAAGAATTTTGTTATGTTTTATATATAAATAGAGCAATTTTGAAAGGAAATATTTACTATCTTCATTCGTGAATTTTGAGCACATGTTCCAGCTTAAAATTTCAATTTGCTTCGACAATATTTGAATTAAAACAACATTAGTTTTATAGAAGGCTTACATTTGACTCAGCCTTTATATTAAATGTTGTTTATTGTAATGCCAAATAGTATACTTTGACCTTTGTGTATAGTGTATATGACAGATTGCCAGATTTCAGTGTTTCTTGTATAAAATAATATAGCTTGGC